ATGACTATATGAGAGGTGAGTCTTTTTCGTGTACAGGATAGGCTGCTGCAGAAGTGTACTTGTTTCACGACCAGGAAGTACAAGGCAAGAGAGCTACAGTAATGTGATTACTTTATATTAGGATGTCTCAGCCCACCTTTGCTTTCCTCCGCTATGCGACCACACCATACGCCTAGCTAGTCTAAGGTATAATATTTCTCTGAGTCAGTTAACCGGTGGGTTGTATTAAGGTCCACACAAAGCCTCTATCGGAGTGACTCCAGATTGCATAACTAAAATCACTTTCAAAGAAACCTAATTAACCTCCGATGGGACTGCTTTATCATTTGGATCGCGCAACCTAAGCGATCGATCCATCTCTCACGTATCGCAGCTTGCTTTTGGGCCTTATAGTGGCGTCCCAAATAACAACTGTACTTCTACTTTGTACTGCGGATGAAGGGGCGTGTCAGGCAGTATGAGTGTGCCACGGCGCCAAACCCGTTCTCTGCCAGTTGTTGAAGCGGGTATGCGACAACAGTTGGTAAAAATTAGTGATACGAACGATGTGATATAGTCTTATTAATTGCTCGCTCCAGCAACTGGTGGAAAACGGGTTTGGCATGCGCCAAACTCATCCCGCCTCACACACCTCTTCGTCTGCAACGAACTATTAGGTTGATGCATATGTTTTTCCCCGACTTTTTTAAATATCTCAATAGCGAACCAGCCTGAAGATTAGAGGTATGCACCATCACCATCCACTACTCGACGCCAACGCTCAGGCAGCTTGTCGATTCCATCCTCCCAGAAGGACGGGGGCTGGGACCCGAAGAAGGCCACAATGCCGCACAATCACCACTGTGACATGATTTCACAGTGGTAATTGTGCGGCATTGTGGCCTGCAAATGCAGGGTGGGTGAGTGATAGCTAGTGTGATGAAAGAGTATCATGTACACGTCACGCACACTACGATACCAACATCCATGTAAACGAAATAAGGGATCAAAACAAGGGAAAAAACAACGATGCGTCAACCTAATAGATGATCTTGATTTATTTCATACCAGATTGGCTGACGCGCACTACTGCGCGCATGGTTAAGTGTGTGGTCAGCACAGAAATCCTGTCTGATCAATGACAGGATTTCTGTGCTGACCCCTAACACTTGGCCTGATTCCCATGTTTCAAAATTCGGCCCATTTCATCATATTTCCATATTTCTCCTCTTTAGAAATTGCCAATGTGCTTATCAGATTTCTAAAAAGACAGATCATTAGCTGGCAATAAAACGGCTTAGCGGTCGAAAGGTAACAATACCGAGATCATAGTGGAATGTGCTTACATCAAGATACTTCCGTTGAGCAGCTTTCACATATCCGTCTGTTGGTGGCCCTTATCATTCCCCACTGGCGAACTTTAAGCTTTTACTTTTTGTCAAAACTCGAGAGTTTAGCGGTCGAATCAATTTCGACTATAACACTAAAGGATAGAAACACTGAGCCTTTGCCCATTGATTCCATGGGCCACGGTGGTCAACATCAGTCGCAAGCGGAGTAAAGCTGCGAACAGATACTGACCCTTGTCGTACACTATATCACAACTTATCTCCCACCACCAATGTTCCCTAACCACCTCTGAATTGCTTACTGGAAGAAGTTCCCCAGTGTGCTACAACTCGTGCATTGAATTTTGTGGCTTCCTCTCTGAAGTGGCCCCTATGGTATCTTATCAGCTGTTGT